AAAAAAATTAAAAAAAAAAAAAAAGATTTACGGTGTTGGAAACGCTATGGGACAGTTCTATTCTGTCCTATAGGGTCGTTATGAGTTGAAGTTGATTCAACGGCAACAGGTTTGGGTTTTTTTGGTTAAACTCTAAATTCAAACCTGGACTTCCAAACTATCATGAAGGTATATTTGTAAAGATTGGAGGATGGAATATATTTTATTTAACAGTTTGTTAGCTTGATTTAGAACTTTTAATGTTTAGCTCTAAGGTATGTGGGCCTCCATTTTTTGCCCCAGGCCCCATGAATGTCAGGGTGGGCCTGGTATCCTCTCCTTTAACTTTAGTACAAAGTAGACATGGAGCCTACCCTCTATAGTCCTCAAGGAAAGGAGGAGGGGTGGAGAGGCAGGCCTGACCTCTATGACACAGGCTGACTCTGAGACCCCAGGATTATGGTGGGAACCCCATGTCTATAGTTCAGATAACTACTTGTAACAATATCTGCTGCTACAGGGCCTTGCTATTTGATACCTCGATCAGTGGCATGCTCCAGGAAGAGTGGACTTTCTTCTTGGCTTAAGTCCCTCTTCTCTGCACCCGTGGAATGGTGCAGGTTTCAAAGAGCAGGAACTCTGGAGCTAGAAGGACCTAGTTTGAATCCTGATTCCACTGATTATTACCTTTCAGCCTCAGTTTCTCCATTTATAAAATGGGAACAGTAGTGAGCTACATCATGGGGTAGTTATGAGGATTAAATGACCTCAAGCATGCAAAATGCCTACAAGGGTCAGCCATGGATCTCTCTGTATTCCACAGCTGGGTCTGTTTCAATCTTCTCTCCTTAAGAAGAAGTTAAGGTGCCCAGGAATGAATGACGCCCTGTGAGGCACTGCCTTTGACAGCTGATGTGACGTGTTTAAAATGTGATGTTATTATCCTGCTCTGAGACACAGAGGCAGGCAGGAAGGTGGGAAGCTCCAGGAAGGCCTGGGCCTGGCAGCCACGTTTCCAGCTTCTGAGTGAATTATAGGCTGGGGATCCCAAGGCGCTGAACATCCTGCAGGGAGCTAATATAACCTGAGCCCTTGTCAAGGCTAATGATTCCTCTGAGTAATTAGAACAGAATGTCCTTCACCGCTCCTAGTGCTGCGAAGATAGGCTTCTAGGCTAGAGACACTCATGGGAATCTCACTGTTAATAGCCATTAATGGAACAGGAAAAAAACAAAAATAATTTTAGCCACTGATTACCTCTCCCAAGTTTTTCCTGTTTACCTTAGGGAAGCAATTTTGGAACTTGAGGGGGGGAAAAATATATATAGTAAATATGGCAAGCCGCCAACCTATGGAATCCAGAGTTTACGTGAATACATGTCCTGCTTTACATAATATGCAACACATTTCTGAAAAATTGTGAGTAAATAAAATTTCTATACTTAAAATTATATTGAATGTGTACTTGTGAGGTTGCTGTTTAAAGGGAAACAAAGAAAACCAAACCAGTTGCTGTGGAGTCAATTCTGACTCATGGTGACCGCATCTGTATCAGAGTAGAACTATGCACAATAGGGTTTTCAATGACTGATTTTTTTGTAAGTAGATCACCAGGCCTTTCTTCTTCTTCTTTTTTATTGTGCTTTAGGTGAAAGTTTACAGAGCAAATTAGTTTTCTCATTAAACAGTTAACACACAAATTGTTTTGTGACATTGGTTGCCAACCCTGTGATTTGTCAACATTCTCCTCTTCTCTGTCCCAGTTTCCTTGTTTCCATCCATCCAGTTTTCCTGTCCTTTCCTGTCTTCTCGCCTTTGCTTTTGGGCTGGTGTGCCCATTAGTTTCCTAAACATGAATTGAACTATGAAGCACGTTCCTCAGGTGTGTTATTGTTGGCCCTATAGACTTGTCTAATCTTTGACTGAGAGGTCAACCTCAAGAGTGACTTCAGTACTGAGTTCAAAGGGTGTCCTGGGACCATACTCTCGGGGTTTCTCCATTCTCTGTCAGACAAGCAAGCCTGGTCTTTTTTTTTTGGTGAATTTGAATTTTGTTCTACATTTTCCCCCCCGCTCTGTCCAGGACCCTTATTGTGATCCCTTCCAGAGCAGTCGGTGGTGGTAACCAGGCACCCTCATCTAGTTGTTCTGGGCTCAGTCTGGTGAAGGTTATAGTGGTTGTGGTCCATTAGTCCTTTGGACTAATCTTTTCCCTTGTGTCTCTGGTCTTCTTCATTCTCCTTTGTTCCAGCAGGGATGGGACCAGTAGATATATCTTAGATGGCCGCTTGAAGGCTATCAGATGCTATTCACCAATCAGATATAGAACAATTTCTTTATAGACTATGCTATACCAGTTGAGCTAGATGTTCCCTGAGACCATGGTCCCCAGTCCTCAGCCCAGTAGTTCAGTCTCTCAGGGCATTTGGGTTTGTCTGTGAAGCTTCTATGACTTTGCCCTGGTCAAGTTGTGCTGACTTCCCCAGTACTGTGTACTGTCTTACCCTTCACCAAAGTTACCACTTATCTACTATCTAGTTATGTTTTTCCCTCCTCACCCCTCCCTTGTAACCATCAAAGATTGTTTCTTTCTGTGTGGAAACATTTTCATGTGTTT